GAAGAATGAAAATATTTTGGGTTCTATCAATACTAGATGATAAATAAAGGCAGGGGCGTCGATAATTTTTTTCATGAGGGGTGTAAAGGCTTCTTATTGGCTTAGGTAATCGAAGAAATCATGTTGTAGAAAGCCATAAATAATATAGACAAGCCATGGATTCCAGAGTTCCGAAGGTATGAGATTCAAATTTGGCAGGTGCGTAGAATTCGAGAATTGGGAAATTTTGCACAAATTTTATACTCTCCCATCACTTCTGCTTTCAGCGGAAACTACCCTAACTTTTGATTTTCTAATGGAGCACCCTATATTCTATTCCATAATCGGTTAGAGATTTTCATAACGGATTTGAATTGACTAGGGTTATTCCACACGATAACGAAGATATTAGCGTTTGATATTTCCATATGCCCAATGAGTGTGACAGAAGAAGAAGTTGCGCGCCCTCACTCACCCATTGATCATATTGAGCAATTGAGCATGGTTTGTCTAATGAATACGTTGGCATCCGGTATATAGGTACTTAGTAGAATAAGACAAGTCGTAAGTAATCACAAGACAAAAAGAGAAAATAAACTTCATTACATTTACGAAATCTAATCTAATGCCTCTTCAATTTTTGCAAATCTCTCGAACAGCATCTAACTTAATAATTTATTATTTATTTATTATTATTCTTACGAGGGGGAAGGGTAATTACCCCTATAAACCCCCATATCGACACCTTTGAATGCAGGAGTTGATGCCTATTTCTTTCGACACAAAAAATCCTCAAGTTGGAAAATCTCGATTTTGAAAACCCTATATCTCTGTAATCATTCCTACTTGACCCCAATAAGTGTGATGCATTGATGAAATCAGCTCTTCAGGGGATTAAAATTGTAAAAAAAATTGTGAAATTTGTATATCGCTACTTCAAAGTTGGGAACCAACTCCCCAGAAGTCGAAACTTGTGCGGGGTTAGGAAGAGCGGGACCTACAGCTTATAGTGGAATTCGAACCACTTCTAGGGCATCGAGGTGCTGCCAGGATTACAACCATGAATCACACATTTTAAAGAAAAATGCTCAGCCGATAGCCGGATTCGAACCGACAGTACCTCTGCATCGTGGATATATAAATACATTTGATAATCGAAATTTGATGCCCAGCAACGCATCAAGGTTTCAACTTTGGAATATGATAATTGCAGAAAAATGTGTCCCCCACCTAATTGAAGTAATCGACTTGTCCGAGAGGTTTATCATTAATTGCAACACAACGGAGAAAACGAGGATGGATCGTCTTCGATGGGCCACCCGGTATAGGTATTGAGAAATACTGGTAATACATGAAAAGATCAATATGAAATTATTGAAATAGGTATTTGGCGTAAATTTGAATAATGCGTGTACGATGCCATGGATATCCCAAGATGCTCCCATATATTTTCGGACCATTGTAATTTTATTATTCTCTTTTTGAATAGTCCTGAATACAAAAACATTAATATCGTTATTTCTAGCAATATTTGTTTTTTCCTGCCATATGGCAATCCCAACAACTGGATAAGGTTTAAGAGGATATTTTTTGTTTATAAAAAAGACAAAAAATGTTAGTACGACAACGAACATAATTGTTCTGTTAAAATAGTCTCATTCAGTTTTTGGTTTTTCTACATAGTAAATAGGTACCACCTGAACTATCTCTAAAATAGGTAGGTAGTTAATTCTCGTCCATCGGAAGAAAAAATCGAAGCAATTTTTATTTACGGTGCGACGCGTAACTTTCACGAAACCGAAAGAATTTTTAATGATTGGTTCCTACGAAGCCCTGGAAGGGACACATAAAATTAAAAGAATAAAACTCTTCTGAATTCTGGATTATAAGTCGGAATTTTAGAATTCCGACTTATATCTCGGAATTTTACATCCAATATTCTGAGTTATAACTCAGAATTTTAAAATTCCGAGTTATAACTCGGAATTTTGGATGTAAAATTTTAAAATTCCGAGATATGAGTCGGAATTCTGATGTAAAATTCCGAGTTATAAGTCGGAATTTTATATCCAAAATTCCGACTTATATCTCGGAATTTTAAAATTCCGTGCAATAAGTCGGAATTTTGAAGAGTTGATTTTTTTTATTTTACGTGTCCCTTCCAGGCCTTCGTTGGTTCCCAAATCGTCCTATCTGTAGAAAATATTTAAGGGAACTTGAACCAAATTTGAACACTACCGGTAGTGTACAGAACAAAATAAAGCCCCCAGGTCATCCGACAAGTGAGAAACTATTTGGATAACACTTTTCCTGGTCGTTTGATTGGCCGTCGAGGTCCTACGGAATGGCCAGCAAGCGCGCCAGATTTCACACCTTTAGACTTCTTTTTCTGGAGCTATTTGTAGCAGAAGGTGTACGAATCTGAACCTGCTTCAGTATTGGACATACGGCAGAGGATAACGAATATTTGTGGAAATATCGACGTTACTGTGTTCGAGAATGTTCGTCGTGAAATATCGAATAGGCTGTTCTTATGTCAAGAAGTTCAAGGCAACCATTTCGAGCATCTTCTGAACTGAACTCACCTTATTTTCTTAAAATATGAAGTTAAACGTCAATGTATATTGAGACAATTAATGTTCCGCCATCTTGTAGTAGATGAAGATATTGACTTTATATTCTAGGGTTGTGAATTAGTCGTCAGAAGCTTCAAAATGATGTGTCACAAGACCCTAGCTCTTTCCTTTTAATTTTTTATCCCAGATGGCGCCTAGCCGTCATCTTGAAATTTTCATCTGTCAATTCTACTCCAAAATATAGTATTCATGCATCGATGTCATCACCCAGGGCCTACTTGGGCCCTGCATCACCCCAACTTCAAATTTTTTCAGTTGACCCGTTCAAAAAATAACGGGAGGGGGGGGACATCACCCAGGCAACCAGATGACGAATGATCACGTCACTGTGACGTCCCTAATTGGTGATTTTTCGTCAGAGACGTCAGACACCAATTTATGACGTCACTATGACGTACTTTCTATGACGTGATAATCACGTCATCGTTCGACGTCGAGTGGACGTCACTTAGATGGGTAAAAGAAGACGTCAGATTCATGACGTTGCAGGGATGTCCTGTCGACGTCCATTTTTCCCAGACCTTCTCTAAACCATGTATACTTATATATATATTATCATGTGAAACAGAAGTAGTAGAAAAACTTTTTTCTAAAAAACTTTGACACACTGTATATTTTGGAAACCAACAAGCTATGTATATATGAACATGATTGTTCAGGTATACCTATATTGAAACCGTCACTCTTATGACGTTGCAGTGACGTATCTATGACGTCTGAAAATCACGTCGGTATGACGTACCAATTTGGTGAGCTTAGTCTTAACTTAGCAATAACTTGCTATTTAGATTTTTGTTGGGTGACAAAGAATGCATCAATAATATTCAACAAAGTGAAGCCAAATTCGCCAACATCCTTTCCATTGCTATCAAACTATTCTTTGTTTGCTTACATCTCGCCGACACAAACTACATAATTTTTGATACAAATACGAGTAACTGATTGCATTCTGATGGAGATGCGTACTGAAGGATGGCGCTGTTGAATAGGCGATTGAATTAACATGACACAGGAGGGACCCACCAAGCAGACTCAACAATGCAATAATCAATATATTATATAATGTCGTCAGATTCTAGTGGTGTTTATCACACCATGTTAAAGGAATCTTTTTCACGTATCATCGCCAAATTCAATCGTCATTTTGACGTCATTATGACGTCAGTCGGACGTCACAGTTTGGTGAGTGAATGACGTCAATACGACGTGAGTAATATGACGTCATTGGGCTGTGACTTATACACGTCATTGTTACGTCAATGCGACGTCAACTACTGACTTCACCTTGGTCATTCAAGTGACGTAAAAAAGACGTCACTGGAACGTCATCTGGTTGCCTGGGTAAAGAAAAGCACTGTATATTGAAAGTGATAAAATATACATGGACGGACGTTCAGAGTGATATTTGAAAGATGGTTCAATCACAAAGAAATATGTTGCGTGCGTTTCATTGGGTAATTTTTTATGTCTCATACAACATCCGAATTTTACTATTCATTTGCGGAAACACCCTGAATATATCTGGAATAACTAGAAATGAAGATATATACATAGGTATAATACAAGAGGAAAGATGAATATAATAAAATTACCGAAATCAAGAAATTTCAAAAACCAAATCTTCATTCAAATATCTCGCCATAAAATTTATTAATGTTCTTCCAGACGAACTCAGAGGTCGATCTATGAGTTTACAGGAATCCAAGAATCGAGTCAAAATATTCTAATTGAAGAAAGTTATCACACATTTGATGAATATCTAGTATTTTTTTTACGTCGGAACTAAACGTCAAACTATTTTGTGATTGTTTCACTGTTGTATGTATTTATATGTCTCATTATATTTATTTCACTCTATTTATTTAATGACCTATATGTATAAACACTATTGTGTAGTAACATGAATAAATCTATCAATCTATCTATCTAATCAAACAGATTAAATTGTACACAATAGCCAAGTTTACATTTGTACAGGTAAATACCTTCGTACCCAGACCACAGACGCTAGGTAATTCTCATTACGTTATCAGTGAGTTTCGTTTCGATGGATTCAACAGCAATGCAATGATCGGAAAACCAGTTTGTTATATCGCGACTTGCGAGAACGCAACTTCGTCAAGGTGTGCTATGAAAAACAAAACGTTCGAATTCTAATTCCTGCTCAGTTGCTTATTTCATTCAACTTTTTTCAATGTGTGCGTTTGGAAAATGACAGAGAACATAAACAATAACAAGTATCAAGTATGTTTTTGCTCTATTACGGGGATAGTTCAGTACTAATAAGTATATTATCATGAAAAGTAGATAGGAGATGAAGATATAGGTGGATGGAAGATAGAGAATTTTTTTAGCTGTCAGTGTATTTTACTATCAACAAAAAATATGCGTGGAAAGTGGACTAACAGTGGACCTCCAATAAATGTGAATAGAAGTTCTTCGGTAAGTCATCCTGACCCTGAAAGGTATATATACCTACCTAATCTAAGTATATTATAAATTTGATGTGCCAGAGCGTGCCTATATCAAATATTAATGTTGTATTGTTGTATGTACAGTTTACACCGTTTTCAAAGAAAATGTTGCATAAACCAAAATGTCCTTTATGATATCTTAATATTCTTGCGAAGAAAAACATATTTTTTAAGAAGATTAGCGCGACTTGGATGTGCATCAGAGAAAGCAGTCATGAAGTTTCATTATGGTCTGTCTGAAGTTTTCTGTAAGCCTTATTATTACGGCGAATTGCTCTCAAATTAGGTGAATTATAGCCTTAGACACCCTTATATACTTACTGGTGGGCTGCTACATGGGTCGAGTCGACTCGATCCTATAACTTCATTGTTTCCAAATATATAAAATTCTGAGAATAAATACAAGACATGGTAAGTAAAACCGGAATTCAAGAATGTACTGATGAAGTCAGAAATTTGTTTAGAAAAAAACTACTATCATCAGCATATTGGAAAATCTCTGAAACACCAGTTAAAACACCCTTATCGATACTCCTAGAACAGTATAGTTTCTTTTGTAGTTGCCATACACAGAATGTTGTTGTTAGTACTCGTAAATATATATATATATTAGAATACTGTTCCTAAAAAGAAAAAATAAATATTGAATCGTTCAATCATTAACAAATCAAAGTGTGCTGTGCGAATTGATGATCGATACAATCATGTGAAGTACCATTTTTTTCAAGTATAGATATGTGAATGCGGTAAATTTTAGAAATATACGATTCAGAACATTTTGATATTGAAAGAAATGAGTCTACCACGTTCTGCCCTGGAATTTTTCGTGGTATATAGTAAGTAATCTTGTTGAGTCTCGATAATAGAGGTGAATTGCTGGTAAATTTCAGCCAGTTACATCAAGACGTTTCTGAAATATCATTCTTCAAAGTTGGCTCCGAATTGAAAAAAATACCCTATAGATATATCTATAACTGATAGACATTTTTTCATATATATTTCGACTCACATCGACTTCCTCTATCCGGCATCAAGCTATATACAGCCGGTTAGTCTGACTCACCCTGTATAACTGTATGACAATGTGTGCCTACAACATAGGTACCAAAAAATTATCATAACCATATTCCGTGTCGCATCTATACTATCATTATTATTTCAGATAAAATTCAATCGAATGAAATAATGATCTCATCTTCTTTTAATCACAATCGATGAGTAATCTCATTTTCATTTCCTAGAATCAAGGAAATATGGAATCACATGAAATACAATCCAATCTGTAGAATGAGTAGGTATGTCGAAATAGGATACATGAAATTAACAGTTTTATTATTATCAAAAATATTCGGGAACAAAATTGTTGGTTAATTGGTAAACAGAAAATTCCATTTTCGACCAATTGAAAGCCTGTATTTTGTATCGTTATACCATAGCAATTTACATTCAACTTCAGATTATGTCGATTCATTCTATGAGTTGATAAGTTCCTTGTAAGTGAAAATATTTCTACCAACTTTGTTTAAGTAGCTAAATGAATTTGTAAAAAACTGAGAGATTGAGCTACTATCGACTTATATTTTATTATTTCATTTAACTTGTCGTTTAATTCAATTTAACCTAATAATATTCCGTGGGCAAATTTTATTGATGCCTCGCACTTTTTGTGAAGAAAAAAATTTCTTTCCAACTTTAGTAAAATGAAAAACTGAGAAATTGATTGAAAAGGAATATTCTCAGATAAATTATGAACATACAAAAATGGATATATATGTTCATAATTTATCTTAGAATATTCCTTTACAACACTTTCATACCCAATCAGGGGGTTCAAACTTGAACGATGGAAACTTGTGATTTTTATAGACCTCTAATCGCAGATTCGTGATAGAGTCTCAATTCAGAATTCATTTCCACGCCCTGTATGATGAATGTCAATTTATCATACACCCAAAAACTGAGAAATTGAGAAATTGAGCTATTATCGACTCATTTTCAATTATTTCATGTTACTAAAGTGAATTAATTGTGTTTTATTATTATTTATGATTGTGAATTTCATCAATACTATACATACTGCTTCAAATTCCTGGTAACAGGAATAAAGGTAGTCAAGAATAATGGTTTGAACTACCACCTTATTAATATTCTGCAAAACGCTAGTCCGTATTCTGTATTTTATTTAGCGTAATCTTATTCTAGTATATGTTTTAAATAATATATATTTCAATCAAAATCGAATGAGATATCTTCTGCAAACAGCGACTATGCATATAAAGTTCAAGATCAAGATTGTGAATAAATATGCTTCCTGGATTCATGCTTGACTTCGGTTAATTATTTTCATTTTACTTATAGAACTGATGAGATCATGAATACCTATCTGAAGGATTTCAAATCCGCAATTCGAATAATAAATTGCCGTGAAATAATTATTGTTTTTCACGGTATTACTTATAGAAATTGAGTATAGGGGAAATCATTATTACCTTCTTGAATCTTGAGATTCACGCAGGAACGGTATATACCTTTATGGTTTGTAGTTGTACCTGTACCTATACGAATAAAATCATAACATAATATATGTATTGTAACGGTGACAACGGTGTGATATGTTGTTTTATTCAATCGCACTATAAAGTTGTCAATTTGAGACAGTGTTAATTGATTATATGATTAATGCCATGAGGATTCATAAAAAGTCTAGTATATTTTACCTGAAAGAACCAGCTGAAGACCTCTGCAAGACATTCTGGGGTAGATTATATTGCGATCTTGCAATATTGGTCCTTCGATCCGTTGAAATTACAAAAATGCCGACGAAAACGAAAATTTCGGGACAAGAAAAATCTGAAATGGCCAGACGGCCAGAGATCAGACTTAGTCCCAGGCAGGACAAACGCATAAAAGGAAATCCGAAGACCAAAAATGAACTGGAGAAAGTTCCAGAAAATTTCAATAGTGGAGCAATGACAGTCAAAAATATCGAAACCCTAACTGGTAGCCATCAAGTCACTTCTGGTCAACCACCAGCAAATGACGATCGTAAGAAAATAAAGACAAGAAATCAACGAAATGTTCGACAAACACATCTGAAATAAGTAACGCGGAAAGAAGAAAAATGCAGTTAGAAATTGTAGCAGAAATACAAATCATGGAAATGGAACGGGAAATGAGAATGACAATTATTCAGTAGCGATTGGAATTAAACAAGATAGCTGCAGAAGAAGTTTCTCAAAATGATGACACTGATGTAGAAAGAAGAATCCGTCGAATAATAGGTTCAATAAAGAAGCGATGGTGAATGATGGGGCCAAAGTAGTGGTGTCTGAAGAGCAATCTATGGTTGACGAAGTTGCGCTTCCAGAAACAAAAGTCAAGATATTGGAAAAAAATAATTCAGATGACTGGATAGTTATAAGGAGACACTCTTTCGACAGGAGTTTGTCATACTGTGACGGAAATCCATCAGAATGGTTAGTTTTCGGGAACGAATACTAAGAAACTATTGAATTGTGCAATTATTCTGATAGTGGAAATTCAATCAGACTCAGAAAATGTTCGAAAGGTTGGGCTAAGGAAGCTGTTGAAATGTTACTGATTTCCTACAAGAAGGTACCGGATATTTTGGAAACTTTGAAAAGTTTGTATGGCAGGCCAAAATTCATAAACAAGATCAGAAAAATAATTATTATGTACCTTTTACAAAACTCGAAATCACAGAGACTGCACCAAATTTATTAGCACTAAAGCTTTTCAAAAGACTACTCAAGAATTTGAAGACTATCGTGAAGATTAGCTGTTTCAAAAGTCAACTCAATGAATTCTTGACATCATCATGTTACTACTCCCTTAAAGATTATTCAACTTGAGGATGCAATAATATTACCGTTTTGTTCTATATGGTTTTTGTAACTATCAAATGGAAAACAAAATAATGTTCATTATTTGATATGCCTGGTGAGAATGATTCCTTCTCCTAATAGTAGAAGTCTGGTTGCAAATTCCGACCGTCATCTGAAAACGAAATATTATATGTCCCAAAGGCATGTGAAAACATTGAATTTTATCGAACGGCACCTGTGCCGCCAATCACTATCCTGAGCCAAGTGATTGCAAAATCGCATTTTTCTTGCTATAGAAGAGTAAAATCAGGGATAAAATGTGTTGTTTTTTTTTCGAGGTATAACCAAATCAGACCTAATAGGTAATGTTCCTTATGTGATTTTCCATCATAGTCCAGCTAGACGACATTTTTCTGTGGGGACGAACTTTTTTATTCAAAAAAATACGAAAAAATTTGGATATTCGAAAATCGTGTTTTTCTAAACATATTATTCAATATTTCGAGAACTACTCAATATATTGAGTTGCTTTTTCGTTTGATCGAAAGGAGATCATCTAGCGCTTCTCATCATGCCAATAGAATGATGTAATGAAATCGGGTTTTTTTCTGAATAAGTTGAGAATATGAAATAGTGGAAACCGTGAGATGAAATTTTCACTGATCCAAAAACTTTTTTATTATTGGAATTCTTTATATACAATCAGCGAAGGGAATTGAGATAATGAGTCGAAAAAGTTTTTAGAAAAAAAAAATTCGATACATATGAAATAGTTTTGACGGTATGATTTTTTAAAAACATGCTAATACCGCGCCTCCGGTAACTGTTCGCGCTCAGCGCAATACCCAGTGCCTACTCCCAGTACCTACCCGCTCCATCAGCGCACAATGTTATGTTGAGAAATTGTTCTTATGGTGGTTTCAAAGTCAATGATGCCAGTATAGAGGAAAATAATACTGCATTTCATATTTTTCGAAATGGAAACGATTTCATAAGTTACAAAGTATAATCGAGTTTAAACCAAACTATCAAACAAAAAATGATATTCATTTTAGTAATCTTCTTTATTTCCTGATTTTGGCCCAACTGGATCCCTGAATTTATTTTGGCAGTTTCCACATTT